TTTATCCTCCTCTCGGTTGAGAGAGAGAGAGTGGTGAAAGTTTTGAATACACCCTCCTCCTCCTCCTTCTGCTTCTCAATTTGATTTCTTGTGCTTCTTTTGAGCAGACTCGGGGGGGTCTCACTCCAAATTGATTATGATAGATGCTCCGCTGCGAGAAGCGGCAGTTTTCAACCCCGCCCGTTAATTTTTATTCCTCCGTCGATTTCATATTTTACCGATGATATTTCAAAGTTCAGTTTCTGCTGGGAGACCGATGAACTTGGTTAGTTCATAGCCGTTGCGATGAAAAAACTTTGCCTCGGAATGTTCTTCGTAAATAGGTGTGACTGGCGTTTCTTCATGATTCTCTATATTGGAAGAAGTTTGATTTCGCGAAGGTATCGAAAATTTCCAACGAACGAAAATCATCTGAGACGTTAAAAACTGTTTAATCGCATCCGGAAATACTATGGGCGCTGTGGAAAGAAGACGACAGCCAATAATTTTTTTTTTTTCGCGCACGTTATAGACCAAAAGTCCATACTCACGAATCGCGGCGAGATCGTAAAAGCCGAGACGTTGGCGCTCGGGAGCCAACACAAATCATCACGAAAAGGGAGGTTCAATCGAATTTTCGGTCGACATCAGCAGCAGCAGAGAGAAAGAGCCGAAAAAAAGTGAGGCATACGCGACCTCCTCAGGCGAAGCCAGCGCGGCAGATTAAGACGACGATAGGAGGAGGAGGAGGCAGAGAAGGAGAAAAATCTTGGGCCAGGGAACATCCCTGGCTGGGAAAACTAATTTTCGCGGTATTGGTTTTATGAAATTGGTTATTGATGATCCTCTTGGATCGGGTATTGCTCCCAGAGCCGTCTTTGGATTTCTGCTACTTCTCTCGTTGATGATACTTTTCCGTAATACCGTATACTATCACGGGATGATTTCAAGTAGAGGATAAATCGTTCTTTCCTTGATGAAAAGTGATTTTTTGCGATTCGAAAGAACTTGAGAGTTATTTGAAAAAATTATCCATTAGAAGTATATGAATTATAAATGAAAGTGTTAACTATACTTTTTCGTCACTTTTTTGATTTTATATCGTCTTGTAGGGCTGATTTTAAATAATACTTTCAAAATTTTTCACGTTAATTAAAAACAAAAAGGGAGAAAATGAAAGAAAGAGATGCCTGCTTTATACCAGAGAAAAGTGGAATTTTGCATGGTTTCAGCACTTTCAGCGTGTAACAGCGTATAATTTCGTTCTGATGTTTTTCTCGGCAATATTTTTGCTCGTTATTTTGTGTACCTCTGGCTCATTGGACCACCAGAACGAGAAAAATATGAGTTTACTATTAGTGCGCTTTTTTCCTAACAGCTGGTGTTTGATATTCATGTTAATAAAACATGTGACTTATTTTATATGCCATAACGAAGCCAGATCACATTTAAGTAATTAAAATCCTCTGAAAATTTGTTGTTGCCACAAAATATGGTACAGTGATGGCTAATAAGTTAGATTGTATTTTTAAAAATAAATGAAAATTAATCTCCGATTATTACATTTGTATCATAAGTTGTAACTCATATATTTTTAATAGATAGATAATATTTCTTATTAATTATGAGTTCAAGAACTAAACAATACAAGAATTCATGGTAAAATAATAGGCTGCCTGTCAATAATAAGTCACAAAAATTGTTGTCATTTTCATCTTAATCTACGCAGATTGTTCGAAAAGGTGGATATTTAACATATATATATAAAAAAAAAAAATAATAATAATAATAGCAAGCTGTATTTCTTAGAGACGATTATACAGCCAAAAGGTGAATCTCTTCAACATCACCTCCGAGAGTTTCCACCGAAAAGGAAAATGATCTTCCCGTCCTTTGGGTGTAGTATTGGCGAAACATCGGTGATAGGGTAGGTTATTAATGTCAGCAAAAAGCGTCGCCTCGTTTTTTCAAAGGCCACGAGTGCGGTTGACAAATATTCCCGAGTTTACCCACATCCCAGCCCTGGCCAGCCCCCCTGATATCCTTTTATTCGCGAGCGCAACATTTTCTACATCTCGAGCCTTTCCCGAAGCCACACAATCACACCTCCGCGCGTGCACGCGTAGGTACGGGTTCGATCTCCTCTACGTTTGGCTCCTTTTATTGTGAAAACGCGGCAGCAAGCCCGCGAATAGTTGGCCGCGGCCCAAAAATCCCCGGGTGCGCTTTCTGCGCGAAAGAGCTGCTACCCCAGTAAATGTGTAGGTGTACATGTAGCGATAATAGTGGTAGTAGGCCGACGCGCCCGGGGATTTTCCCGGTATCGGTGATTTCGCCGGATTTCTGGATAGCCCCACGCGCCCCCGGCCAGAGAGACTTTTGGACGATTCGCCATGTATACAGCCCTGCCTCTCCCAGGCTCTCGTTCCTCTTGCCACAGAGTTCTACAGTTTGGTCATTTTCGGCCTCTCGTGCCTCCCTTCCTTTTTTTTTTTTTTTTTTTTTTATACGGGTTTTTTCCCAACTTTGTTTATTTTGCTTTACTTTTTTTGCGATATTCCGATTTCGGAAGTTTACCTGCTTTTGGATAAAAGGTGAAAAATTTTTTTTTGTTCTTTATCCGCACAACGGGCTTTAAATGTGATGCAATTAGATTTACAACGAAATCCGTGTTGGATGAAAAAAAAAAAAAAATTTGTCTCAAGCATACTGAAAAGGGCAATCTCTCGAGAGTCTTTGCAACATAAGTCTTTTTCCCCATTAATTTTTTTGCCACTGCCTTGTCGGCACCCTTCTCCTTTTTATCGATACTTTTTACGCTCAAAGCAGTTTTTTTTTCAACTCGATTGACGTTGCTTGAATAGCGAGAAACAAAGACGAAGTTATTTTTGAGCGAGTGGTACTACTTACTATTTTTTAATGATTATTAATGCGATACACAAAGTGGATTGTTGTAATTTAAGCCAAAAGTTGTAATTTCTAAGCCAAATGTTCCAGGAACTAAAAGAAGGAGTACAGGGATACTCGATCGTCACACCGATATACTCTTAAAAGGGGACAGGAGGGAGGGTAATTACACTGCTTTCAGATGCAACGAGAAGTTAGGAGAGGGCAAGGAGGCCGAGATTAATTTCATCTCCACCTTGTGGTGCTAGAATCCATCCCTCTTCGCTCTCGAGCTCTTCTCAGTTTTTCGCCCCTGGTGCCTTTGCAGTGCTTATCTTTTTTTTTTTCTTTTTTCTCCCTTTTCTTTTTTTTTTTTCAGTGTCATCGAGTACCTTTGTGATCTTATGCTTTCTTGCCTTTTTTGCGTTACCCTGGAAAAAAAATAGCTGCGCCTCAAGGTAATCCTTTAATCAAGAATAATCCTCTTTCCTTTTTGTAAACATTAAATGTACCGTCAACAAATAAGGCAGTAAAAATCCATCCCCATAAAATCATTTAGTTATACTCACCTATGATTAACTTCCACGCTCTGGTCTGCTGCTGCTTTATGGCTCTCGTTTTCATTTCGGGGGTTGTTTTTGTAAAAGCATCATTAAGCTTGCACGCGTGCCAGTGGTAATTCAATTCCTATCTTATTTCCACATTTTCAGTCAACAAAACTGAAAATCAACATCTGCTTTTACGACTCATCTAATGGAAATGTTGTGTTATCAGTTATCAGATATCACCGCCAATCTCGAAAATTAGTTTATAGGAGTCGTTATGTTGAAAGTGCAAACACAGAGAGATCGAAAAAATTGAATGCACTTATTTTCGATTATTTGCTACCATAAACACATTTCTCGCGAGATATTCGAAAGTAATATGTATAGTCACGCATCGGGTTCGATTACAGTCTGGCTTACGATACATCATTTGCAATTGTTCGTGCGAAATATTTCATGACTACGTAATGATAGAAAAAAAAAAAAAAAAAAAAAATTACACAACAAATAGCGTATATCCTTATGTTGTAAAATATTTCTACCCAAATGGAAAACCTTACACTTGAGAAACCCGCAAACGTTGGTTTTAAAGAAAATTATAATCGAATCCGAGTTATTCGCGTAATAATAATTTCTAAGTAAGCCAAAGAGGCGAGAAAGGAGGGTGGCGATGAAATTTCCACGAATGACTGCTCAAACCCTCGAAAATTGGACTCGGGGATGCATATCTGAATCTGGAAGACTCTTGTTCACCGCGATGTGGTGGTGGTAGCCGCGAGCTAGAGATCGTATACATAGTTATAACGAGGAAAGTACGTAAACGAGCAAAGGGAAGATAGCGAGGTGGAGTGCATATTTTACGATCTTTTTCAATGGCGTTGATGAATAAGGAATTTCGTCCTCAAGCCGGAGGGAAAGACAGAGTTTCACGGATATTTGGTTGGAACTTCCTTTTTATCGAGTTTTTACTTCCTGTGTAATCTAGGATTTTACACCCCCACTTCCCCTCACTCCAACACATCTCTACTTCTTTCTCCCTTTTTTTTGACATACGCGTAAAAAACCGCTTCTTAACAGTTATTGCGTGGCAAAATTTTTAATTAGATATTGCTTGTGGCTTCGAAAAATTCATATAGTCATAATATTAAATGAAAAATTCAATGATTGGGAAATAAGGAAATATTCAAAGAAATTCCAACTTCAACCAAGCTTTGTGAAATACTTTTTTTTTTTTTTTTTTTTACAACTAATATTGTTATTGAGTGGCATTTGGAATTTGGACCACTATCAGTCCCCATCTTGTGCTTGTGTATAATTTACTATAACAAAATACACTAATTTTACGTGTTTTGCTGTAACGATGAAATGAGTCGATGAACCAACTTACCACATAGGCGCCTACTTCACGTCTTATAAAAAAAAAAAAAACCACAAGATACAGTCAAAATTCAGGCTATGTACAAAGTACCGATCTAACCTTTTCGAGAGTACCCAGTGATGGCAAAATTCAAAGTGTAACCACGTAAAACCCACCCCCAACTTAAAAATCCCCAAGTCCCAGCATAAAACTCACAAAAAAGCATCCAAGCGATGTCGCTCTTCTCGGCATTGCTCATTCGCCATGGCAGGAGTAACCTGAGCAGCGTGATAGTCCGGAGTCAAGGCACGCAAGCGCAAGCCCAGACGATAAACCTCGCCAAGCCCTGCTCGAGGCCCCGTCGGGTGCAGAAGCTCGTCTCCGCGGAGCCGACGAGCCCGTGTCCCCAGCGGAGCACCAGCTACCAGCCGACCCACCCAGTACCCGTAAGGATCTGCAGGCGCGAGGACCTCGAGAGAGCTTGTCTGCCCAAGGTGCTTGTCCTTTTTATTTTCCGTTTCACGCCCAAACCATTAGCTCCTCTTTTCCCCCAGGGCTTAACCTCTCTCGGCTCTCTCGCGGAATACTCACGATTTAAGCGCCAATCGAGGCTTCATGAGATTGATCGGTTGCACTTACTCTCTCTCTGCTTTTTACTCCCTTTTCGCCCGCTCGATCGTTAAGTCGAGGGGGGACGCGTTTTAAATTAATTGGCCAATTTCGAGATCAGCCACTCCTTGCGGTGAATCGGAAACCTTTCGGAATCAGCGACAGTATAGTCCCGCGGATCAACCGAGCGCTTGCAAAATAACCAAGTTGCAGTTTAATGTCACTAGCGACGTGTTACGTAAGACGCCGAACGGAGGGCGAGCTTGACGAGCTAATTAACCGCGCCCACTTTGAAGTCGGCCACATAGTGACGATGGCACAACACCAGGGCACAAAATACCCCGGAGCAATTGGGAGCCCTACTCGTCCATCTCCTGGGCTACCGCAGCGTTAATGTGCCTGTCGACGCCACACGTGCCGCTGCTACTCACGTGGGCATGTAATTTCAGGTGACGAGCCCACCTGTGTTGCTCCCGTTCCAACACGTGCATAGGGCAGCTTAGGTATACGTCTGGCAGTTTGGGTGCTGATTCGACTCTCGAAGCGTTGACATTGCAGTGTCTATGGTACACCTGACCTAGAAGAGTAATTTGATAAATATTTAAACTCGAGTGTACCAATATTGCCGTACAGGGAGAGCTGTACCTCTGATTCAAGTGTGTCTTGGAGGACCGCAAATTTGAGCGACCACGGGATTCAATTGAGGTCCAGCTGTTCCTCCGGTGGTCAGAGGGGGGCACACGTAGATCCGATTGCTATGGGCTTCCTCCGTGATGACTTTATCCGTTCATCGGAGGGACAAGTGGATGGTTAGATGACAGTCGTGGCCCGTGGGAGTTCGAGTCGATATGTCCTCCACGCGTTTATACCTGAAATTAGCCCGACGTACTCGAGGTCTCTCCTGTACCTGCAGTGCTCGGCGTATCTCGGGTGGTCGAAGACAAGTTCGGCTTGAGCCCCGTGAGGTGGAAGTGGCATCTCCAATGCGGAAGGACGTTGGAGCCACTTAATGCCTCGTCACCCAAGGAGTCTAGAGACTTGGTTCTCGCTCGTACTTGTTATATCGATCCACGTATAGGTAGGGGGAAGGAGCTAGCTAGATTGAGATGGAAAAATAAACCGAGTGGAGGATGGCTGTCGATAAATTAGTACACGAGGCGCCACAGGGGTGCATCACGGTGGATCGATGGTCCCGTACCTTTGCTCCTTAGTTCTAAGCATTGACTGCTGAGCTGTGACGAGCGCTCGGTGGGTCTCATTAGATTTTGTAGGTCGCTATCTGATTAGTTTTGCGTTGCAAGTTTCTGACGATATGGCCTGAGACAACGGCTGGAAAAAAAGAGAGTCTATTTTTCAAATTTCCAACCACCCGACCGCTAATGGGAACGAAAATTATTTTGCTGACGAAATATTTAATTACTACTTACTACATCTAGATTCAATATGTTAATCAAATTCGGCAAGTAACTATTATGGTTCGAGAGTAATTTGAAGCATTGAAATCGTTGTAGTTGAGAAATCTGCGTGGTCTGCCCAAACGTTGATTTTTCCACTTAAAATATTTAAATGAATTCAATTGCGTTTGTCAACTTTTGAAAATAATTTTACAAAGTAGTAATGTACATATGTTCAAAAGTAAAAATTAGTTCAAAGCTTTCAAATTGTTAGCATTAAAAAAAATAATTATTGATATGATTAAATATTGATTTTTTAATTAATTAACCTTGGCAGTTAAATTTGACAGTGTGTTAATTAACTCTTGTGGATAATTATGTAATATGTTACCAGAGACAAGTGATGGGAAAAATAAAGTAAATTTCAAGACACTTAATCGTGAATATAAACGATAAACTGTATGTCTGACTAAAGCTTGATTTTTCTACTTTACATGACTTCGTTCTATCGCGTAGAGAGGAAGAGGAGACATATCATGTCCAGCATTTGGCTCAATATTACCTTGCATTTTTTAAAGTCTTTCCTAAATGGTGTTTACGTCATTTGATCACTATTTTGACACTAAAAGTTCATAAATTTGCCTTAATAAAGAATACAGAAACAGTACCAGTTAAAAACTTGAAGAAGGAATTTTCAGTTGCTACTTTGACATCAAATATAAATGTTTGAGGATGTAAAAAATAAATAGTTAGATAAACCTAACTATCATGTGTTCGTTAATAGCAGTATTGCAAATATTTATTTGGTTACGGCTTAGTTTGTAGAGCATTGACCTCGTCCTTATGATTAAAATTCGATTTAAAGTCAAGGTGTCAAATGAGTTAGTAGACGATCGCCAGAGCAGAAACCACTCAAATAAATAGACAAATAATTAACGCGTATTAAATTAATGTTTGATGATATTATTATAACATTCTAACCAGCAAATTATTTCTTACCGGTGTAGTTTTGCGACTGTCCGCAAAAGCAGCCGCCAAAAACAATGAAAAATTATCTCTGCGAGATGGCAGTGTTCGGAGCAAAGGGTGCAGTCGCCGCCGGTTTCATCTACTGGACGGTAGCCGAGGGATTTTGGGGCGAGCCGCAGGATACCGAGGACATGTACACGAGAATGCGGGAAACCTTCGCCTCCAACTCCACGCTCGAGGAGGTAAATACTTTCCACCATATTTGACACTACCCAACCAGTGGTTACAAAGATTCGTTGTATTCGTCAAACAGGCATCCTTTCCGCGATTAGAGCACATGAAATTCAAGCTCCTCGACTCGTACAACAGAGCTGTCTTGTCAACCATGGGACTGCTGGTCGGGGTGCCGGTTAAGCTGACCAAGCAGATACACGATGCTCTGTATCCGTGTGAACCAGTCGAGGAAGAAGGCAAAGGCGGCAAAAAGAAAACAAAGAAATAACACTACGGATGTGCCCATGCAGTTCAAAAAAAAAAAAAAAAAAAAAAATTGCTCACGCATGGAGATATGATGCTCGTTTTGATGATTCGTCAATTTCTGTCTATATTGGTCGTTAAATTATAGGGAAAAATATCTTGTTTCGTCCATGTCATTTTATCGAAAGCAATAGTTATTAAATCGATACTTTGTACAAAATAGTTGCAAGCACAGCATTTATTACGCGTGTTCGATTATCTGCTGAATACGAATACGGAGTGACAATCTCCGATGAGAGACGCACAAATACAATTGACGCAATATAAGCGGTGCTGGATCTAAGTCCGACGTATCCATAGAGCCAATGTGGTGTTCAAAGCGTAGCACTGAGCTGTCTCGCAGCCGCTCGATATCACCATTGGTTATTCAAGTATTAATTATACTGCCGGTGGCAGCGATCCTTTGTGTTAAGCCCCTCGGAACTCGCAAAGGACTCTAGCCTTAATCCTAGCCAAGCCAAACGTCAATCCAATCACGGCCGGGACTCTCGAGATTCCGGTCCCTCATTTTCATCTGACCTGCTTTTTTCCTCCTCTTGTTTTCGCTCGAGATCGCTCCTTGCTTTTTCCTGGCGCACTTACGTCGGAGTCGAAAGAAAAGTCGGCCGAGGAGGAAGAAAAAGGAATCTTGCTCGCGTGCAGTTTTCGCTACGAGACGTTGACGCTGAGATTAAAATTCCGAGAGAGTTTTATTCATCGGGGGGACACCTCGAGAAACCGTAGCGTTGAGCTGCAGCCTCCACCCCCTTTTGCCGAAAGCGACTAAAGCAACGGGAAGCCTCTTACGGGAATTTTGGACTTTTCATTTATTCAACCGTGAGATTTTCATCTAATTGGGAGTTTTAGTACTGAATCAAATGTGCTGAGATTATGCTACTTTGTGGTGATTTTTAAAATTGTACTTGGTTGGATTTTCATTGAGTCGTCATTCTTTGAAAAATTAGACGAGTGTTAATATTTGATGCAAAAAACTAAAGCATTTTTGAGAGTAACTGAGATGTGTTTATAATCAGCGACAAAGTTTTCACAAAAAACTCTTAATGCGTTTGCCATGGTGGTTATTACTTAGATTCGCTAGTTCCCTGATAGCCATGATTTTTATTTTTTAATTTATTTTTTTAAATTTTTTTTTGTGAAGCAAACGAACTTAATTTTATTCAATGCTTCAACTGTGCACGCACAGCAAAATAATAACGTTGGCACATATTATGTAGCTGTTTAAGTATTAATTTGTTTTATTATATTTGCTTTACCTCACGCTGAATTATAGTCTTATAAAAAATTGAAAATATAAACTTTCGAGCTGTTCTTGTGATAAGGGGTCAATACTTAAATTTTTATTGATGGAATTCCAAGAACAAAAAAAAATTACTGCATTAAACGAATATCTCATGCAGCTTTTTGAGGAGACTATTAATAAATCTTTTTGCTCTCACATATATGCATAATTACATATTTCTGCTGATACAGCTTATTTTTTATCTTACTAATCACACTTATTTATTATTATTATTATTATTATTATGCATTCATACTCATAATAAACAGTGTAACACTGTCGTGGTTGATACTTTGTTGACATTCAAAAACAATTTTTGTTTCCAGTAAGATTTTTTGTCACGTGATTTTATCTTTACAGGCATACTTGATTTTCTCATAATTATGAACTATATTCTTTCAATATAGCGGTAATTCAGAAAATTTTAATTGGCAAACAGTGAGTACTAGTACTACTAGACAACAAAAATGAATGTATGTCCACGAGGAAAAGCGTAATTTGCCACCAAGAAGTTCGACAACTTTTTATCAGCCTACAACTGCTTTGTAAGTTAACTCTATACATACCTTGCACAAAATTCTAGTTGATACAAGCTTCAAACTTTTCCTCCAGTTCAAGCAAAGTCCCTCCCTGTTGTGTGGTTAAAATTAAAAGGAAAAAAAAAAAAAAAAAAAAAAAAAACTGGCACCATGGACAAATAAGTGTGTAAAAGAAGGTCCCATGGGTCGTGAAATAAAAACAGCTGAAAAAACAGAAAAGAAAAAAGCAGGGTGGACTCGCTTGCTCCTTACGAAAAGACAAAAAACAAAATGAAACAAAAAATCCGTAGAGACAAGCTACTTTCGCTCATAAGTTTAATCCCAATGGGAGCCCGGTGGTGACGGAGCGCAAGAGCATTTTCTCTCCTGGCCTTGTAAGCCACAGCTCGTCGGCTCCACCAAAGTTTGTTTCCTCTGGCCATGGCGGAGATGGAGTAAGCCAAAAAAAAAAGTGAAAAAAAAGCGCAATTAGAGGACCTGGCGTGGCAATCGATGTAATAGCTCGAACTTTCTCTCGGTGTTTATTTGCTTTTTCCCTCTCTTCGGTTCTCCCTCAGTTTAGAAAAACATTAATTGAAAGCATGTAGTTCCCTCCCTGTTTCTCCCTCCTGCTTCTCTTACTCTGAAAAAAAACAGAGGTGCCCGCGAAACCTTGGTGGAAAAGAGAAAAAAAATCTCGGTAAGCGTCGAAGGTGGATGCGTAGGAAAGTTGACCATCGCGCTCTGTTGGGAGCATCTTTGCCACTTACCGAAGAGGCTCACCTCTCCTCACTCCATTTCCTTTTTTCTTCCATTGTCCTTTTTCACCTTTGCTACTGGGGAGAAATTCCGCAGCCATTTGTCACCGGCTGCCGAGCGGAAAAAAGGCTCCTCTGGTCTCATTCGTCGTTTGTCACTCGGCATGATTTTTCGCTTTATATTTACGAATTCGAACTTAATTTTCTATTTGAAATGTTGCGAGAAGGAAAGAATGAGAAATCCGAATGGCTCTTGACAGTACTGACTGTACTAATACCCTGGACGTCGAAAAATCGTCGTCTCTTCTCGAGATTCACTTTGTTACCCTTTTTTGCGACGGTCTCCGGAAATCGATGTGAATCGCACCAGATGAAACTGACATTCACAAATATTTTTCGAGCTCGTCGTCGTTTCGTTACACACGATGCCATGCACGATTGATGGTAAAACTGATAACGTGATTTATTTCACATTGTACTTTGCGCAAATGCAAAATAAAAAATTTTGCCAACTTTGTATCAAATTTATTTAAACAAACGAACAGAGTTGTGTAAATTAATAAATTTATAAGAAAATATATATTTTCAATTTAAATAATCTACTATGGTTGAATTATAAAAAAAGAAAAAAAAATTTGAAAAAAACAAAGCAATACGTAGATGTAGTTGTAAGTAAGAACATTTTCGCAGTGACAGGAGAATCAAGGGAAATAGAAGATGGAGAAAGGAGGAGGGCAATGAAGCGAAGAGACATTCTTGTGCACACAGTACTTGACAGGTAAATATTTTATTCAGATCGAAACTGTATATATTATATACATATGTGTTACTAGACGATATGGATGATCGATATGGAGTCACTTGCTCGCGACGAGTCTTTTTCTTTTTCTTTTAGTTTTAGTTTACATGGACTTTCATCACCTTAGACTTAAAAAAAAAAAAAAATTTTCGACGATATTTACAATGATTCTCTGCGTCTCGCACACACACAGTACGCTCCTACACACTTTTGTCCTACCCTCCTCGAGCTACGACACTCGATCCACTTTGCAGGACGGCATATCACCCTAACCAGCACCATTACCGCTACATGACGCAACATCACGAACAATAACCGTAGTAGTAACATCAGTGGCCTAAGAAAGGTCTTTTCGCTTTCTCTCGCACGCTATTATCACACGTCTCATCCAAGCACTTGCTACAGATAACTCATGGAATTTCACCACACATTCACTGTCTCGTTATTGCCGTTGTTTTTTTACTTTTTATCTCGCCCACTCCACACAGCAACGAAACACACATTTTCATCGGACGCGGTACAAGAATCACACTGGCTCGCTCTACTCTCCCATGGACATATGCATATTCGCGTCCAACTGCACCGCGCTTATCTCGAGCCCCGATTCCCCCTCGTTGCCACCATCCGTGGCGGAAGAAAAACACCAGCCTAACGAGGATATCGAGGAGCAATTTCGCTAGCGCGATTCCATCCGCAATCGGGCGCCGCTCGATTCTATAACGCAAGGTGGAGCACCCCTTCTGCCACGGCCGCCCATCCCCTTTAGTCGCGTGTGCGGACACGCGACATGTGGGGCGAGTCGATAGTGAATCCGATGGAGGCTCTTGGAGAGCTGCGCGGGGGCTTATCGCAGAGCCAAGAGGAGGAAGGGGTGGATGTACGGAGCCGTTGATTCGGCTATCGCCGCGGTACTCTCGAATACCTGCAGCGCTGAAGTTCCGAATTATTCGCGCTTCGAGTCCTCGCTGCCTCCTTACTCGGAAAACAAAAGTGGGGTATAGAGCTGTTGCTTGGCTCTTCACAGAACACGGGCTTTGCACCTAACGAGGGCTGTTCTCTTTTTTTTTTTTTTTTTTTTTTTTCTACAGCTGTGCTCGGTTCTTTTTCCTCGCGCCCCGTTGGGATACTCGTGCTCACGTTGTCAAGACGATACATTTTTTGCGTAAAACTGATTCGATAGCAGGTTTGTTCGCAGGCAAGAAATTGTTCACCGACTCCCGGTGAACAAGTCGAATAGTTCCATTGTCAACGCGAAAGAGCTGGAATGCCATTTCTTGCCTTGTACCCTCGTCAGTGAGGAACCGAAGCACCCGAGTTTTTGCCTCCTCGAGCCAGCGTCAGGCCTTTTCTCCATTAATCTTCATTCAGGAGGCTTCGGGAGACGCGAAGGAGCCCACGTTTTTCACGTTTGCTTTTTTCGTCTTTCCCGATGAAAAAAAGAAAAAAAAATTTGGAAGGAGCACCCGGCAACAAATCCAAGCCTCTTGTCGTTCGCGGTGAATTGGGAAAAATGTTGCGTTGTCGAACCAGTGTTGCCACTGGAAACCCGGCTCTTTTCGAAATTTATCAGCGCGCAAAGGGGGTCAAGAGCCCTCGTTCGTATCTTACGCTACGAGAGTGATTGTGGCGTTTGGAAAGAAGTTGTCCTCGTGTGTTTTTTATCTCCTTTTTCCAACCAAGACATGAGAGTTGGATACACTATTATTGTAACTAATATCGTAGATTTGTAGAGACCTTATTTTAAAACAACCAAATCGTCGATTGGTAAGTATTTTTTTTTTAATTTCAATAAGTAAATATCAACGGATTATACAAGCAAACGCGTGTCTGTATATGTAGAGTTTAAATCAAAATTCAGTCTTTAGTTATCAGTTTTTAGTCGATCGGTTGTACAAAATTTTCACCCCCGTAATCAAGTTTTAAAATTAGTATTGAAACTTTGAATAACAAAACTCTCTCTAATCTACAACTTCATGCTACAATTGTCAGACTTACACATTCAGTAGTAGATACACCTATCTCAACGCAATAAAAATCTAAACACGGTAAATGTTTCAATAACTAACTTTTCTTTATTTTAATGTACATATGTTACAAGTATTTTACAAATTATTTCATACGGGTGTAATATATTAGATTATTTTAACATACGTTATTTATAAACTCATGTCCGCTTTTTATGCTTAATATTACATCGCGGTTCGATGTGTTTTTCCAAGTTAGTTGTCTACCTACGCCCCCTTGAACTTTTCTTCATGAAATCGTACCATGATTTTATGTTTTCAATAAAGACCATCTTTCAAAAGAATGATAAAAAATGTATATATTTTACGTGCTTTTTTGCCAGTGGTTTTGATTACTTTCGAAATGTGTTTTAGGTATCCTTGTCTCAAGTCGAAAGAATTTACTTTATAAAAAATTTGTATTACAAATACTAATAAAAAAAGCTCAGACGGTTATTTCAATGTTTATACTTCAAAAACTAAAATATGTCATAAAAAACCAAGTTAAAGACAGTTACAAGTATTTTCATGAGTAGATGTCGGCATCTTATTAACGAGTCAAGTGATAGGGAGGAGAGAAAAAATGGACAAATTAAAAATAATAAGCTTTAAAAGCCTTTCTCGTCGACCGATCAGACAGAAAGAGAAATGTAAAGAGAGAGAGGAGTAAATTATGCATGCGAGATGTGACATATGACACATATACGTCCATCGGATTTGGGAGATAGTTAACTTGGATTTTTTTCTCCGGCTATCGAGCAAATAATGAAAAAAACCTTAGTCAATACATGAATTGATTTTAATGAGTGTGTATAGAACTTTTTAAATCTAATGAAGACAATACGAACATTCCTTATATTTTTCGTCTCTCTATCCCAACCTTGATTTTACAACATTTTTTACTTCTACTAACTTTCATTCGTGTTTAACAGCAGCAGGGTTCAGAAAAGAGGTGCACACGGAGATTTTGAAGGAAAAACGAGTCGTTTCTGAATTTTCCTTTACCATTCCGGGGACGGAGGGTACAAGAAAATTTAAAGATGAAAGGAAAGAAAGAGCCTGCCGAAAGATGAAGTTGCCGTAGTGGAAAAAAAAAAAAAAAATGAGGAGGAGTTTGTTGGTTGAAAAACGGGTCAGCGAGGCCGTCTGTGAATACCGTCTACCGAACGAAAGGATCTACTTCAGGGCCACTCAGATTCTGCTCCGCCGTGAATAGACCGGAGGAATCAAACAATAACCAATTGCCATGGTACGCAAAGTTTTTCAATTTCAGTTCGACGAGAGGGAGCTCCTCCCCATCTCTCTCTTTATCTTTTGTATTGAACTTTCATATTTTACGCCAAACTCAAAAGTAATCGTCGAAAGGAGTAATGATCTCCTTCGAGCACCAGATTCATCACAAAGTCTTACTTTCGCTCACTGCAGCCTCTTTGTTTCAAGAAACAAAATCACACAGATCTGCAATTAAACGACCCGTACCTGCCCAAACTGTACACCCTCCACGAATGACGTGACTTTTTACAGCAACATTCGATAACAGACGACACATGGGATCCAACAACAACAACAATTAAAGTATGTTCGAGCAAAAATATGAAAACAACTTGACGATATCTCGCCATCCATTCATCCACTCGGCAAAACTCGCATCCAGTGTCGCAAAACACAAGAAATACACCTCGCTATAACTTTGGCTATCTTTTTCGGGCGCATGTACACTCACGCGATTTTTTTCGATGCTGGTAAACTCGACTTTGCCCGTAAGAGAAACGACGCTCGAGAAAGCGAACCCGCATCTTCGCTCCGCCCTGCTTGTTCGCTCCTCATTTTTCTTCCGCCCCGACAGCGCACCAGCGAATGGCTGTGAAGACAAAAAACAACCACGAGAAAGGGATATGTGGATAAAAAATGCACCCTGCACCCACACACATACGAGCGCGCGCGAAAAACCACGCACTTGCTCCACTATTCGGAATTATCGCGGACGACAGGGGGGGGGGGGGATGATTCTGAGTAAAAACAAGGTCTCTGTGTATGTATGACTTGATGCGTGTTGTCTATTCTTCCCCTAGACGCAGCTCTCGGGTAGCCTGTTGGCCATCAGCCGGCGCTTTATCGCCTCGCCGTCGAGGCATTCACCGGCCACGACGACGCAGGGCCCGGTGCCAACCACCACGCCTGCGTTCGTGATAGCGGTGGTGCCTGGTAGTGTCGTGTGGTGACTACTCAGACCCACCGTCGCCGTAATGGCCCCGATCGTGTTGCTGCTCCTCGTTGGTAGCCTCAGCTCCGTAGGCCGTCCTGCAAATTTGTGGCAAAGCTCGTCTATGCTGGGCGTTGGGCCCGGCGTGACCCATTGTCCCGGCGAGTAACCACCCGGATAGCTCGGTGGACTCACCTCGATTAGATTTCCCTCTGTGGACAGAAAAGTTTTCTCGTTACGCGCTCTCTTACAAGATAAATATGTCACGTCTGACTATTTACACTGATTACTACTGATTTTTCAAACATGACGTATGAGCAATCAAAGTGTTGGTACTTTTATCCTGGGAATAGAGAAGGGTATTCGTTACATGTACATACGTTTGACTAATAAAACCGATAACTACTAATTATCTTAACTTGCAAAAGAATACAATTGGAATGCAGATATTTTTATTCTTTAGTTGGAATGTAGATATTTTTATTTATTTAGTTCTTAGTCTAACAAAGATTAAACAAGTTTGTACCAACAGTAATAAATTAAAAGATAGATCCATCATACGAAGCTCTATCAATGAAAAGAGTAACATTTGTTACCCCAAAAACAATGAAGAAAGAAAAAAAAATCGTACCATGGCCAATCCAGGCTATCATCGCCTGAGAGGCCAATAAAAAAACACGCTCGTCATATTAAACCATGAAAAACAGTATGACTGGTACAACCGACGTTCATCACTCTCTTGGCCGATCACACATAAACGTAAAAAAGGTATGAAAGAGAAATGTACAAGCCCCAACAGGCGACTCACCAAACTTGTTGGGTATGACGTCAGGATCTGTCTCGATGGTCTGCTCGAGGTTTTGGAGGGGGTACTGCTGAGAGGGCAGCTCGCTCAACTCGGCCGGCTTGTCGGCGTGCCGAGGTTTGGTCGTCCCTGCCGCGGCCACCTGCTCACGCCTCGATTTGACGAGCAGCACCAGCAGAACGAGGGCGAGGGTCACCAGGGCCCCAATAATCACTCCCATCAGTGGTGACAGCCCCATTCCCGCGTCTTGTCCTGCAAACAAGCGACGCAACCAACCGTGCGCGTGAGTGCGTGTGGTGCTTCTTGTTCATTGTTCGCAGAAGTGATACACCGATGTATAGGCTGAGGAGGATGGAGAGGACCGACGCGCCTAAGCTCTGGGGATGTTATCGCTTGGAGACACTTTGTGGCCATGGGTATGGCAGACTTCATTGCCCCTCCTCATGATAAGTGGTGATAGTGTGGCCCGTCGAAGCCCATGTGGGTTATACAATATGTGTAATTGAGTATCATGTGATATTGTGCAGGAATGAAAAGCTTGCTCGCACGCTGTAGTAGACCGAAATGCATTACGCAACATCTACAATCATCACAGAAGTATGTATGGAACCAACCAGTTACAGTGTTACAAATAAAAGTACAAACGTGATCTGTATGCCCGAAACGAAGAAAAGGAACTGACAAAGAATGTAGAAATACGGGTGGAACAGCGCTCGCGTAAAATTTCATCGCGTCTGACTGTACGCCGAGCTCGACTACTTACCGCACGCGTAGCACGCTCATTAACCTGCCCGGCCGCGCCCGCTCTTTCGGCGTCTAATTTTGTTTTCTCTCGCGTTTTACAGTCCGTAAACGTATGAAATTCAAGCACGTCGAGTTAAAACGGAGGAACACGCAAGGTACAAAAAGGCAGAGATAAACAGGAGAGTTTACATTGGGGAGCGCCAGATTAAGCGCAACGTGCATTTCTCTCTCTCTCTCTCTCTCTCGACGGATGACTAGTTCGAAAGATGGTGGCCGCAAACACGTGTGCAACGAGTGGAAGGTACTTGTATTTTTTTCGTTGGTACAATTAACGGAGTTGCTTACCTTCCCTGCTGCAAGTTTTTCATGTTCACCTGCGTAATGAAACGAGTAATTTTGGCAGCCACTTTTTTATCATCCACAGGCAGACAATCAAAGAATAGAAAAAGGCTAACGCGGAGTCGGAACCAATGTAAAAGCCATTTGAGTTGAAATGCACTATCACGAATACGACAGGCCAAGGGAGCTAAGCGCAACGGATTCTCGTGCACAGCTTGCGGCTGCTCGGACAGTTGTTGAAAGTATTCCGAGATAGAGAGAGAGGGGACAAACGGAGGGGGGTGCGGATGCCCGTCAAATGAAAATTCCTCGCTCCCCACAGACTCCCTGAGTCTAAAATCCGGAAAAAAACATCCGGCATTCCTTTCTCCGTTTCCACCCTCGTGCCAATGCGAATATCCGGTCGTGCGCGCAGCTCTCTTGTATACATCGAGCTGGTGTATATTTGACATGCAATATACGACGCACTTTGACTGGTTTGTGCACGTGGTCGCGCTTGTGTGCAGTTGTGCTGTTGGCATGTGCGACCGACAGGTTGGGAGGCACAGAGGAAGGGAACGTTATGGTGCTCGTAAAACCAGGGGCTTAATCAGCCAGCTCAGCTTTTGGTGTGCCTTGCTGCTGCTGCTACATCATACGCGTGATATATGTACGTGGACACGCGTGTGGTTTATAAGGACTGGTCAACTTTAGCGGAGGTGGGGGAGGAAGGGCTTATTTGCGTTACAACTTTGTACGCAGATCAATAATTTTGTTCTACTCCGTCTCTACTCCGTTTTCCTTTTTCCCTGTACAAGTGGATTTCAGAAGTAGCAAAATACCTCCACGCAAAACATCCAACAGAATTTGATTTTTTCTGTTTGTTTGAACGAAATAATCATTTTTTTTTTTTCGTTTAAATTGGCATTTCGATAATTAATGAATTGAAAGTGCCCACGATAACTGTACTTGGTTGTAAACATTCATAGAATAAATGATCCTTCAGTGATGAAATGAAAATGTATCGTAGGTTTCGTTATAGTAAATATACGTAAGATAATTTTCGCACAAAAATATGATTCCAGATTTTCCAATAGGTACCAGTGTCTTATACACCTAAATGGCTTGTTGTAAAATTCATAAAGCACGTTGCATCTCGTCTCGTTGATCCGAGCGACCTATTTCGAGGATAGAGATCGCAAGACCGGCTCTGATTAAATACCGAAGATGCTATGCAATTTTAATCGAGTCGGGCAGCGCATCTTTAATCCCAACCTTTAATCTTTAAGATAAACAATTCCAAGTATTGACCTCAAGTTTTGCTAATTAGTTTGAATTGAAAAGCTCCGATCTCAGGCTCGAATATTCCGACTGGTCTATTTCCGATGTCACTGCTCTGTTTCAAACTTTTTCCGGCGCTTCACTGGCCCGTAATGAACAGAGTTTTTGTAAAACACTTTTAACAAGCTTTCGTTAATTAATGAACAGGATCGACCATTGTAACACTGAAAAGTACCAGTGAATGATAAAATTAATTTCACGTTTTAACGATGTACTTCAACAATCGAGTTTCGCATTAAACTTCAATGACAGACGTAACATTTGTTTGAAAAAAATTGCATACCCTAAAGTAAAAACTCATTTGTTAAAGTACTAGTTTGTTATAAAACGAAACAAAAAGGAGAAAAAAAAGAGATAGTGAGAGAGAAGATTCGGCGAAACAGAGCGCGCATGGTTAACGATTAACCATAACGAAAGACGATCGTCCACGGGGGTAAACAGAACGAAAGTTCACAACAGTACCTTTGGGCATAGTACGAGGTTGAAAAGCAGAAGAGAGAGGGAGAGAGAGAAAGAGGCACTTGCTTTGGATTCCAGAGCCGCGTTTCGGGTCTCGTCCGTGATTGTAAGCCAAGATAAATATCTTGGCTAATTCAGCGGGGCTTCCGTAGCCGAAAGTTTCAGTCCGCACCGTAGTGCCACGGCCTCGGAGCTGTGACTAAACTTTGAACAGTATGGATTTGGATTGAACTTTAAATTAAATAACGACGGATTCGGGCCTTCCGAATCCCCCACGTCCGTCTTTTTACCTATATTTTTCTCCTAATTAAGGTACTTTCAGGCTTTTGTTTGTACTATGGTTGGAGTTTCCTTTTTTTTTTTCATCATCGAGTTTATCTTGTGGACCGACAAACAAACCATGGGAAATAAACGTAACCTTTGCGTGCCGATGGGTAAATATTATCTCTTTGCTTGGCAATTAAATGCTCTAGAGTCAAAGAGGAATTAACCACCCACTGTACATCAGGATTACATGGTAATCAACTAGGGAACTCGCGAATCTCGTATATTTAGTATAATACTAATCAGATAATTGTTACTTGTCATTTAAAGTATTTCATGATAATCCTTGATGCTCTGAATACGTTCAAGTAGCAGGAAGGGCTTATGCGTTCACGAAATCTCTGATGGAATTCGCTTTTGCTCGTTATTCAGCAAATTAACCAAACTTTTCACTCAACTAATGTTAATAGGAATCGAGGCTATTCACTTTGTAGCTTTTGATGCGTGCGAGGATTGGGATGTCAAAAAACAAGAGAGTAAAATTTTACAAAAGCACAACAGTACAAATTAAATGTGTGTCGATACTACAGTCTTTATTTTGATTTTAAACATAAGCCCGTAGTTTTAAATAAGCAAACAATGCAACAACACCTTACGGCTTTGAAGTAGCACTGAAAAATAATGTTCATACTAGAACGAATGTTCGTTCTGAACTTGAGAGGGAGAGAACAAGCGTATAAATCTACATATAGATTGATACATGTCAAGTACAAGGGGAGCAATATAATTCAATGTACATGGAGTTGGACACTTTGGAGTAGCCAACAAATGTTTAGCATATTTATCACGATTCTCTGAGCTCATGCAGTGCGCGACTTCAATCAAAGGACCTCGTATGGATCGCGTTGTCGAATGCTTGCACAAGTTCCAACGAGGGAATATTACGACAAACAGTTTGTCAATTCAAATCGGGGCATGATTATAATCATTATATAGAGTGGATATTCTATATATAGAGTGGAACACCTGACGAGGGCGCGGATCGGGCGTCGAGCGCGATATAATTAATTCGATGCTCCAAAGTTTCTTTGGCTCGATGAATGGGTCCTGCAATCAATTCGAGGCTCGTTAACGAGGATCAGACTCCATCGGAGCCATACATTTAGATAGGAGACTTGAGAATCACCGAAATCCTGCCTCAATCTCGACTAAATTTAACATCACCTGGATTTAACATGGACATCATCTCTGCGCTGTATTATGCATTTGTCTTTGTGACTCATTTTGAAAAGTTTATTTTTTTCAAATAACAAAAAAAAAACTGCGATTTCCCTCGATTCGTATCATACAAAGGTATAGCAATTTCAAGGTGGATTGGCGCTCCATCCACTTTACCTCCCACACGGGGATTCGAATCGAGAAAACAGTGTACGCATAGAAGCGCAACAATAGCATCAGTATCTATGCCCTACCATTTGGTGAACATGTATTTTCCCGATTTCTCTACAAGGACTACCATTATAGCCCCGTGTAGTCAGTCACGGCTCATTTAAGGACCTTCCATGCCCATACGCGTGTGCACGCGAGACACAAAAAGCCAAAGTAGGTACAGCCGCGAGGTACGACTAATCGCGTACGGGTCGTCTCGCTCAAAAAAACGTACTCCAGACTTTAGTCATCCCATTTCGCTCTCTCTATTCCATTCTCGGTTTAATTGCAATTGCCGCTAGCGAAAGAGAGAGAAGTTCTCGTCCATCGATTGGTCGCAGCGATTACAGTTGGCGCAATCCACCGGTCCCCTCGTATTTTTTTTCCCTCCACTAGTTTGTTTGTTTGTTTGTTTTTCCCTCACCCCTAGAGATAAAGCCAGCAACACACGTGGTAGAACAATCCTTTATCTTCCATCTGCCATCGGAGTCGCGTAGAGGTGCAATTACTGTTGCAATCTTCTCGTGCCAAGCGCGAGAAATCGATGAAAAAAGAACGAAGGAAGGAGCGGATCGGTGTTGGAGCCGAGGGGCGGGTGTATTAAGTGGTGGGTGGGAAAACGATGACCAGCCGGGATTTCACTCGATTTGCCCCTCTTTCTTTTACCCCCGGAAGTTACACGCACAGAGAGGGGGTTA